TGCTATTAGAAACAAGAAGCTACTAGGAACAAGTGCATCGCTTCTAGAAACAAGGGCCTTACTAGTAGTAACAATGTTTGCCATTAGAAACAAGAAGCTACTAGGAACAAGTGCATCGCTTCTAGTAACAAGTGCCTTACTAGGAACTCGTCCAATCGCCGAGCCGAGCCCTTGGCCGTGAGCAGGTAGTCGACCAACAGTAGTAAGGGCAGCAAATGCAGGCCTTCCAAAGACGTCCGGTTCACAGAAGGAAGACATTTGCAAAGCCATCACTCTTAGGTTGGAGTCCATTGTTCTTAGGTTGGAGGCCATTCGGAATACTTGGACTTCACCACAGGCCCTATATCGCTCTTAGGTTGGAGGCCATCGCTACTAGGTTGGAGGCCATTGCTATGTGGTTGGACTTCTGGAGCGGTCTGCTTTTAGGATTAGCAAAAAAATCCATGTCTCGACCTCCAATGGGCAACGGCTCAGTCGACAACCTCAGAGTCAAAGCGGTGAACGAAGATTACAAATTGATGCGAACTGGCCAAGTACTAAGTACACAGAAAGGATACAGAAAGGCAGAAGCTACTAGGAACAAGTGCATCGCTTCTAGTAACAAGTGCCTTACTAGTAGTAACAAGAAGCTAGTAGGAGCAAGTGCCTTACTAGTGGTAACAATGTTTGCTATTAGAAACAACGGTGAAAGCGTGGGTGCTGAGTGGAGCAGATACTGTCTCTGCCAAAACACAGCGACATCAGCACAGCCCATACCCAAACTCGTGAGAGAACCTGGCAAGGCGCACAAATCCATTCCCAGCTAGTAGGTTATTCGAATCTTTTGGAGTGCCCGCTGTTGAGAAATGGTACGCACTCTCAAAGAATTATGTTTCAACATTGGCTCGTTTTGTGTGACCATTGGCTCGTTTTGTGTGACCATGGCCTAAACCCTCTAAACCCTTTAAAACACTTGTTCAATACCAACAACCCAAGACTACTTAGATGCAATGATTTGACGAAAAGGACGTAGCAGGTGCTGAGAGAGCTCTTAGTACATCTTCTGTGCAAAAACCAAACCCAAGATTTTGCCAGTCGGTTCTATTTTTCCTCTGCCAAAACTCTGCCTCAATCGCTCGCAGTCCAAAGTGCAAAGGAAAGGCGCGACCTTCAAGGCCAGAGAATCTCATCATGGTTGGAGGCCATCGCTAGTAGGTTGGGGGCCATCGCTAGTAGGTTGGGGGCCATCGCTAGTAGGTTGGAACCAACATGTATGGACTCTATGGAAGGTTCCCACGGGAGATCTCCAAGAACTGAAGCATCCCGATTGATGTGAATTTCACGCCTTTCTAAAATGATTGAATCATGAAACCATACGATGAAATCAACTTGAAACCTTTCTTTGTAGATGGCCTCCAACCTAAGAGCGATGGGCTCCAACCTACTATAGCGATGGCCTCCAACCTACTATAGCAATGGCCTCCAACCTAATAGAAATGGCCTCCAACCTA